CTCTATTTGTAAATGTAATCGGTACATTATAACACCATCCATATGAGCTGGCATCAGTGGCAACTCCCTCAAGAGATTGAGGATTGGTTGTTAACATTGTATTTGCTTTACATATTAAGAAAATCTTCTGCTTCTTTATCGATAGAGTCTTCTTTGATGAAATAATCTTTAGCTAATTTGTAATATAACTTGTATAATTCTATAATAGAATCAAGAATCTTTGAATTATTGCCATACTATGATTTGCTATCATTCATAGTTTTATTATATTTGTTTTCATTAGAAAATATAGGTCGTCTCATCACTTCTGATACATCGAATATGTATAATACAAGTTGATAAAATATATAACTAATATCCAAATTAATTAGTATCAAAAGAAAGCAATACTTATCGGAAAAAAAATATTTTAATATAAGGTCACAAAAATGTATATGTCACAAACTAGCTATATGCACTATATTACCAATTTACAGAATTTCAAAGAGCGATTGTATATATCCGAACCAAAACTTTCCTATATATAAAAGTTTTTTTTTTATTATGCGAATTGTAGTTTTCTTAGTAAGAAAAAATATTCCTGGTAACGTTTTACATATGCACTAGGGTTTTTAAGAAATTTGAAAAACATTTTAATAATATGATTAGTAGCTCAAAAATCTTTAAAATAAATAATTTAATTTTTTTAATAAAATATTCAAAATTCAAAATAAATAAAACAACGCTAATAAATCTCACCTAAGCTATTAGACAAACTTGTTCTCCATAGTCGAAAATATAAAATATTAAAATTTTATGCCGATATGTAAAAATTTTTCTCATAAAATTTCTAAATTAGTAAACAAATTAAAAAAAAAAAAGTGCGAGAAATTTATTTAAAATTTACAACTATGATTCGCCTAAATAATTTTCAAAGTTAATGAGAAAAATTTTTATGTATCGTTATGAAAAATTTATACTAAATATTATCGACCATGGAGAACAAGTTTACTTAATACTTTTTGCATGGTTAACAATAGGGATTTTTTGGTATTTAATGTTAAACTTTTTTTATTTTTTTTTTAAACCCGTAAAATTTTTTTAACTCTTATTTAGAATGTAGAACGCATTAGTAAAATATTCTCTAATTTTCTTTAAAATTATATTATAGGCGCAAAAGACCACAACAAACATTTTTACTTATGCATAAAACGACGATTTACATAACAAAAAAAAAACTTTTATTATGTATCAAATTCATCGCACGGGGTAGGTACAATAGATCATCATTTAAAGGGGTATTTAATCTACACTTTCCTCATTAAGGTTTTCGTCTCCTGAATACAAGTCTACATCTTCATCTTCACTCTCGTCATTTATTCCATCATCGACCATTTCCCAATAGTTTCTCGCCTTACCTAAACATTTTTTCCAGCATGAAACAACCACATCTGATTTTATTTCCTCCTGAAAGGAACTAAGTAAGACATTCTGAAGAGAAAGAATATCTGGCTGCTTTCACCCCTCTGCGACTTTATTTTTTACAATTCCCCATACTATCTCAATCGGTTGTAGCTCACAATGATATGGAGGTGTAAAAAGAAGTCGATGACCAAACTTATTTGCAATAGTGACAGTGGCGAAAGGGATGGATTTTTTCTCTTTTTTCGTCAATTCATATAGTTCCGCTTTTGTCATACTAGAGTCAAAATCGATATTGTGGGATTCTAACCACTCCTTTATCGCGGGTTTATTCCAATTAGAAGTTGGTGCAGCTTCAGAGTGACGTTTATGGTATTTTGCCCCATCTATATGGATAACGCATGGTCCATAATCATTGCTAAGATTTTCACAAAGATTCTCAAAAATTCTTTCAAATACTTCTGCATTAAAATTCCCATGATAATCCACTTTATCTGGAACAATACCGGCCGTTTTCACCGCATCCGGAACTGTCTCCCACGCTTTTGCATTCTTTTTTTTTCTTCCTTTCCCAGTAGGTCGCTTTGCAGTAGGGTCCCAAATAAGAAGGGATTTACGAACGAACTCTCCTTCCACTTTATTGCTATTTCCATTACGAAAAACGATGATGGCTCCAAATATAACCAACATACGACCTCTTCCACTTTCATACACCACACCATCCTTCGGAACCCAGGTCAAATTGCGATTATGATGCATATGGCAATACGATTTGTCGAGGAAAACTTCTGGGAGAGTTGGTACATCGTTTTGTCCTTGAATATTTTCAAATCGCCAATGGAGATATCGTGCCCGATACAAAACATTTTGAGGAGCCTCATGGAGGATATTTAGTCGTTCTCCCTTGCCATAATGATAACCAAGCTTTTTCAAGTGACATGCGAGTTGTGCTTTTGAAATTACAAAGCCTAATTCAGATAATTCAAAGACTATGGATCGAAGGGTAAGAGGAAGACCGTCTCTATTTGCAGAGAGAATTAAATCATGAACTGCATTAACGTATTCTGCGTGAAAATCTTTGGGAGCTTGGTGACCTTGTTCTGATGATGTAACCTTTCCGGTTTTATTGAATTCAGCAACGACACGGGCAACAGTTGCTTCACCTACCCCTGTTGCTATGGAAACTTCTTTACGAAGGTTAGTGGCTTTCTTTAACTGTTCGTCAGTTATTCTTATTTCATCGGTCATTTTCATTTTTTCTTGAATATAGTTATGAACGGATAAGATCATCTTCTTTTCATTAACAGTTAGGGCGATTTGAGTACGTTCGATTTGGTCCATAATAAATTTATCAATTGCGATGATGTAAATGTAGGGTTAGAATTTTTACAGAATTTATGGTGTATTCATGGTGTATATATATAATTATGCGTTACGCGATTACTGCAGCTTACATCAATCCTTTCGGATTATACTATTTCGTCTAAATTTAGTTAGCTAAAGAAAGTTGTACGTTAAAAAAACAAAAAAAAAAAAAAAAAAAAAAAAAGGAGAGACCTTTAACTCCCGCAATCCTATATTTTTGTAGTAAATTCGATTATATATACCTAGGTTATAAGCATAGTGTATTTTTAATAACTGCGCCCTACATATTATTAGTTATGAAATATAATATCAGATGTAAATTAGTAAAAGCGAGTAAAAAAAATTGTTTGTTTTATAAAACAAATATAACTTACATTTATTATTTTTTTATCATTTTTATAGCATTTTTTTTTATTTTAGCTTATAAACTACATTAATAAATATACCCTTCTACTTAAATATTCTGGGTATAAATTCAAAACATTGTAAATATTGTTACTTCGTACTCCGTTCCTGGTATAAGAATAAATAAATTAAAAAGTAGCCAAAACAGATTTTAATATTATAAAAACTTTCCGTAGTGGCCTAAATAAAGTTATTCGTCTGGTTTTTGTCATTCTAACAAGGGTAAGATAATTAAATTTGGCCCGGTGGATCGATCGTAATGGCGCCTCAAACTTTAGGCAAGATTAATTATACGATTACCAAACTTTGCAGATCATTTAGATTCTTTAATAAACACTGCATAAAAATCGGACTATCTTTGAGGAGCCATTGTGAACTATCCACTGGGTCAAATTTAATTATCTCACCATCTTTAGAACTGCAAAATCTAGAGGAATAACTTTTACTAAAACGCTTTAAGAGATTTAAATAATATTAAAAACCTCTTTTGAACATCTTTTGAGTTTTTTTAATCATGTGACCATCGATTTTGACTTTATATTTTCTGTTTGTACGAGTCCATTGGAATAATTCGGTATGAAAAATTCCAATTTAAACTGCTTTCGTAATAGCCCCTATTTCCATATTACTAAAAATGCTTAATTTTTTAAAAAAAAATTATATTTTATCGCTATAGTCTTTGATAAAGTAATTGCTATTATATTATCCTTGATAATTAAAGAAATTATTGATTATATTTTTATACGTTTAAAACACTTTCTCATATAAGCAACTAAGGGATTATTAGTCACGTTTTCGCCTATGATGGTGAGCTATACGCTTGCGTAGTAGCACCATATGATGATGTTTTCTGATCAACATTACATAGTAATGAATGAAAATATTACACATATTATTGATTTTTTAACTGTTAGCAGGGTAACTTCGAGTGGCTGGTTCTCATCAATGAGAAGTCATAATAATTTACTCTTTTTTTTATTTAAAAGCTTAAAACCTGAGGATTATTGTCAATAAATTTTATAGGGGGTTATAAATAAAAATTTAGATCTATGCTATTTTAAATCAAATGTATCATGCTCATGTATCATACTTAATGAGACTACCAATATAGTCATAGCTAAATTTAATATATTCTTTTCTGGGTCTTCTGCTTGACGTAGTTTCTTAATTCTTTCTTTATAGTTCTGCATGAACTTGCTATCTTTTGGCTTTCTATAATAGAGATCTGCTTTGATTACATTAATTAAAGCCTGCTCGACTTCTTGGTAAGTGGGCTTTGTTTCATCAATTATTTGAATTCGT